ATAGTTGGCGCGAAGTTACAAACGTCAATTATAATGTTATTTATCGATTTTAATCTTTTAACTTAACAAGATATTTTTGTATATAGATGGAAATATTGTTATCTCTGCTTGATGGTTTAATACCTTTGATACAAAGTCAAGAGGAGCCAATTGTGAACAAACAGTCAGCATTCAATACTATTGTTGTTCTATCAAAGTTGCTGGATGATAACCATAATATTTCTTTAAAGAAGGTGTGGTATATAAAACTGTTTTTATTAACTTTTATGATATTTTGATTAAAATTAATATGCTCAGTTAGACAGGGACTTACACATTTGTTGTCTTTCTCCCAGATATTTTCTGTGGCAATTGAAACAATTTCTGGCGATGACGTAAAGGCACAGGTATATGTGAATATGCCATTGATTTTTCTATTGATTTGATGATGTAAATATTTAGCAAGGAGTCCAGTGTATGTAGCATTGGAGTCCAGTGTAGGTAATATTCAATGGGGCAATTTTCCCAACTACAGCGGACCGCCAAATAATGTGAAATATCCAAAGACTTAAGATATGAATGTGTATGATTTGGCTTTGAGTGGCATACTGGCATTGAAGTATAACCTATGGTATACACACCTCGTATGAGTGGACCTTATAATACCTTAAATTGGCGTATTGGGAGGCGATCTTGGGTAGCCAACATGGGACCACCTGTTGTTGGAAATTTTTATAGTTCTTTATAAAGTGAAGAAAAAGATAGAGAGTAATGTATGTGCCGTGATATTAGTGAGTCAGAAATCTGTCCCTCCACTGTCACTAACCAAGAGACGTAGATTTCAACACAGACATCCATTGTAGAATGTAATAAATACCTTTTCAATCGTGTTTTCTCCTTATCACTCCAGGTTGCGTCAAGTGCATTACACTGCCTCGCAGAGTTATGTTCCCTCCTTAAAGTACATTTAATACCATTCCTGCCTAAATTTCTTCCTCTCGTCCTACAAATACTGGAATGCAAGGACGGCGAAAAGAGGTAAAGTATGCTTGCTTCACAAAGTTAGAACATTTCTGGGTAATGGATCATTCATGCTGTGAAGGCAAACGCGTTTTCTTTCTTTCTAGAAGTGACATGTTGTTGCTTAATGCTCTGACCGTTTTACAAAAGGTCATTCAATCTCTACCGAATTTTGTCAGTCCATACCTTAGGAACATTCTCGTGCAGGTAATTTTGATTTTAATATTTGAAATAATTCTAGTACAGTGTATGTTTTCAATCTAAATTGTAATAGCTGCAGTCTGTGATTCAGAAATAGGCGTCTGTTCTCGAAATTTACAGACAAAATACAAATATAAATTGTCGTCCGTTAGAGGCCTAATTGGCGGTAACCACATTTTATTCAAAACACTGTAAATATAATTTGGTAAAAACAACTTGGCCGTTAATGGCAACAACCAGGGCGTTAATGCTACACTCTTGAAATATGGTGGGATTTTTAAGGTTAGCGTGCAGTAGTATATAATTTTATCGTTTGGGGATTGAAATTATTTATGATTTATCAGTGTAGGGTAAGGTATTCTGTATGTATATATAGCAAATGAATGAAAATTGCAAACTGAACTTGCTGCCTTGTGTACAAGCCTTGTTGTCTCGAAAACAAAGATAACGTTGAAGCCTAAACTGCATGACCTTGCCTTTTGGACGTTTAAAATGTGAGGTCTGGAAATATATATAATTACAGTACTTCACATATATATTTATCCTTGTACTTCTGATTTTTATAAACTTAATATCAATACTTCGTTTTGTTTTGTTTACATTCAGTTGGTCTCCCCTGTATTTGTAACAGTAAATGAAGATGGATCAGTTCAGAACAAGCAGATACTTGATGTTGCCGTTAGTTTGAGGTAGTTTATAGAATAGCTGTTATTGTAATTGAATACGTCTATGCTACGGACCAGCGGTATCTGCATTATTTTGACATGGAGACGAGGCTATAGGGTCATGTTTGGTGTTTTTTGACCCTTTAGCCTCGTTTTCGTGCGTACTTCCACTGAGATACCGCTGGTTCGCCGCAGCGGCGTATTCAATTACGATAACAGGTATTACCATGTACATGTTAACTATAGAATTACCATGTACAAGTTTGACGATAAAATTGTTTCAATATCAGAAATGGAAGAACTTGGCCCATGTTGATTAGTGCCAAAATGTTGACCGCAGTGGGTCTATGGAATCTTGCACTCACGCTCTTCCAATAAAATTCACTTAAATATTCCTTGATCTCTATTATAGAATTGAAGTTGAAAACTACGTCAATTCTGCATTAAAAATGCCTCCAAGTTTCTTATACCTACACCATATAGTTTTCATTAGTATAATCATGGATTGTAAAATAACTGGATAGGAAACTTCCTGACGTCACAGTCTAAACCTAGTTGCAATCTGTGACGTCATGTGTATTGCGAAAATGTTCAGCATTTTTGTTGTTTCGCTATATTTTCCGCTTCAAATAATATTGAAGCATAAACTGGTCTAATTGTTTTAAAAACATGCCTAAGCCACGACAAAGTATTCAAGGTAAGTGTTTTTCGTCTTTGTTTTGTATTTTTTAACATTTGTAGCTACAAAATTGGCGTCGCCAATTTTTACGAAATTTGCGATGCATTTTTCAGTGTTTAGTGCTTGAAATATTTGCTAAAATTGACCGGGAATACTTAGAGATTTCATCGTAGAATGGCTTAGTCATGTTTATTTGCTCTTTGACTAAAATGTTTAGCTGTATTATCGCTAAACATGCCGTTTTTGAGAATTTGGTTTGCAACTAGGTTGCAACGCCATCATCCCATTGAAAACATTAGGTCACGTCAGCTAGTTTCCTATCCATGTATTTTATTATCCATGGTATAATTTACAGTATTAATTTTATGTACTTTTTTCAGAGCCGACATTGCTCTTTTAGTAAAGCCACGAATCTTGATTCCCAATGTATCTCAATGCTATGAGGAAATAGTTCTGAATAAAAACAATGTGAGTGACATATTTACTTGATTTAGCGCCGCCCAAAATCAGAATTATTAAAGAGCGCTGTTGTCAAAAGATTGCCGTATAGTAGTGTTTAAATTGCGTTCATGCACACATCGTGATTTATCGGGCAAATGTTCAATGTACTTTGATGATATCTGAAAAAAGTACTTTATCTAGGGACCATCACCCAATATCAGAACAGTCTGACAATAAAAATTTATAACCAGTTGAAATTTGGAATTTTTGGCTTTTCTACGTGCAAGTGGCGTTAAATTAAATCATACCTGATTGCAAATTGAGAGACTTGTTGAGTCATTTATCGTCGTTATCGTTGACCTAATTATCGGGATATAAACATTTTTTACATTATCTATTATATGAGAATGTGATTTCGTAAATATAAACAAGATAAAGGGGTCATGGTCTCAATCATGAATACTTAATTGGCTTGTATGGTTGTTTTGTGGCATAACAACAGTTGTTTGAAACTTTTTAAAATATTAATTGGAACATAAGTTAACATAAACTTGTTTCCTTGACAGGAATCATTGATTGCTTTGCACCAAGTGCTTGATAGCTGTGTAGCATACATGACTAAAGATGATGTAAAGAATTATCATAATGAACTGTTGTCATTATTTATGTCTGCCTTGGATTATCGTTCACAGCATGCACAGGTAAACGCTCACTGCTTTCACTTTCGTATCATTCCAAATCGCAGATAAATACTAGTCACCCGAAAATTTTGGATTAAGTCATTCCAGAAAACCTCGATAAAACACCAGACATAATATAGGGAGCTGATCCCTGTCTATCTCCCAATGGGCTGTCGTGGCGAAGACAGGAAAGTGACCGCCGTTCATGTGTTTGAGTCTCGTGATGGACTCAACACACTCGTTCTCACACAGGGAATATTTGTAGATATGCCTGACCACGGTGGGAATCGAACCTACGACCTTTCGAATACTAGCCCAATGCTCTGCCAACTGAGCTACGCAGTCTGGTCGGTTCGTGTGATAATAACATCACAAGCATCATATTCACCTGAGTACATTACACCAACACAGGAAAAATAAAAAAATAAAAAAAATATAGTCTTTCATTCTAATTCAAATATTATTTTCATGCAATATGAATTAATCTCTACTCTCATTTTCAGGGCGTTTCTGAGGAAAATTTGCTGAGAATAGAAGAAACAATTATTGGGGCTTTTATTAGTTTAATTATGAGGCTTTCTGAATCTTTGTTTAGGCCGATGTTTTTGAAGGTAAAGTTTTGTCACTTTGTAAATTTTGCCAGTAAAAGGTGAATAACACTCAATAACTATTGCGAAAAACGTTCCTATAAGCCCCATATGGCATATAGAGGATTGTACCACATCCTCAAGAACACTTGTCTGACGCTCCTCCTATTCAGTTCACTATATTAAGTTGTTTTCGTTACAGTTAGTTGACTGGGCAACGAGATCTTCAGCAGCCAAGTCAAGACAGTTGGTCTTTTATCATTTAGCTGATAGGTGAGAAAAATAAATTATATGAAGAATAAGTTATTACTCGCTGGGGCACCTGTGCCTGCACCTGTACCTGAGTATTGGTTTCGGCATGCATTTGTCACGGATAGTGGATCGTCGATAGCCACAAAATATTAATGAGTTGCCTAATTTTCCCCCCAATTATCCATAAGGCTCCTGCCAATTTGACCCAAATTATCCATAAATAACCCTGCATTTTGAGGAAAATTTGGGATAATTCAACAATTTTACAAGGAATTTCGACATAGAAACAGCAACCTTCGCAAATCGCAAGTTTATCAAGTTTATACGTTTGGCTGCGCTGCTTTATATTTTGAGAAGAAAGCGACACCGTTCGATTCAGCGTAAGAAATTGTACTTACGGATGTCAAGTGTATTATTGTAACACCAGTATTCTAGCGATTTGTGGCCTTTGAAAATCAAGCGAAATTGTATTGTTGACAAATCGCTCGCAAGTACGTACTATATTTGTTGACAAATCACTCGCACAGTCGCACTACGTTTGTCCATGTATTTGTAATGCCTAATGGCGCAATAAGGATAAAAATACCACCGTTCGATTCAGCGTAAGAAATTGTACTCACGGATGTCAAATGTGTTATTAAACAGCAAATCGCTCAAAATTATTAAACTAATCAAGGGAGCACAGCAGAACGATATTTGGCTATTTATATAAATATTTTTACGTATATTTGTCTAATATTCGTACCTGTTTTCATAGACGATCACTTCATTTGTTCTTTTACTGAAAATAAACTGCCATTTTGAGAATATCATATTCCTTCATATTACTATTATACGAAGTAGCGCATTGGCCGGAGGCGTGCATAAGCGCTGGCGCGGCGGCGTGAATAAGCGCTGGCGCGGCGGGAGCTTGCGAGGCGGAGAAGGGGATTTGGATTCGGATTTATTCCTTTACTGTCAAACGAAGTTTAATATAAGGAACAACAGGAAAAACTGTCGCAACTATATACCTCACCTGATTTTCAAAACAATACAGCCCACGTTAGGTTTTACAAGAGTGGGAATAATGTTTTGTAACGAGAAACAGAATGACAGGAAGAAAAATGGCAGGGGTGAGGATTTCAAGAAGTTGCGGGACGCAGGATGAAATATTGTGCGGAATACTGTAGTAAGATAAGAGCACGTAAATTCAGATTTAAGAACCCTATTTTGGACATTCCTCTGCTATCTGTTTCTCTCTTCCGTTCATTAAGCTTGTGCTAATATTCAATTTTCTATCTCTTATTCAGAATGGCAGAGAAACTGAAAGGTCTTTTTGTGTTATTTGCTGGATATCTCATCAAAAACACCGCCAGTATTCTAGACTCCACTAATATTACGAAAACAGGTACACGGATACTCATTTCGTACACTATGGAACATATCATAAGAGCGCTGTTAGGTTTTATTCCGATCTGCCATATATGATGTAGACTAGTAGCTTCACGCTGAATAATGAAACCTTTAAATGCTCTTTAATAAAACAATGACGTTTCTTGTGGGAATAGACATTGTTTCTATCTGCGACTGCCCATTCTTGAAAAAGACCGGACACGACGTACTATAGTTAGTGTAGTTGTAGTTGTAGTTGTAGTTGTAGTTGTAGTTGTAGTTGTAGTTGTAGTTGTAGTTGTAGTTGTAGTTGTAGTTGTAGTACACGACGTACTATAGTTAGTATAGTTATAGTACACGACGTACTATAGTTACTTACTTAAAGTGTAAAATTAAATAGCAATGAAATGACCACATGCATGCATAACCAATCTTGTTTCATGTTAGCATGACAATGTGTTTATATCTACGACTGCTATAATCCTTGTATTCGAACGACGATAATAAGATATAGTTACATTCGTATATACGTGGAAAACTGGGTACAAACTTGATAATGGATTTTTCGATTTTATTTTGCCAGGAGACTTTGTGATATTGTTAAATTTTAGGAAAGATCTCTTTTGATTCTTGCACGAATCTTTGTCCCATAAGTGTCTCTCATCTCAGCAGTGGATATACCCATATTTTAAACGGTTTACAGTGTGTGTGTGGGGGGGGGGGCAAAACCAAGATTACGTCCCAATGTGGGCTCCCCAGGGTAAGATTTAGGTCACTCAAGATTATAGAGTCCAGTCTGAGCCACTGGCTAGTGGGTCTTGGGGGGGCAAATCCATGGCGCCCGGTATATACAGCATGTTAAATATGCCTTGCATCTCAGAGTATGTGCATGTCATGTTATTAATTATAAAAGGCAGTGAAGTAAAATATATAAAGTTATATAATTTCTATTTCAGAAGAAATATTCTTCGTTGGTGAATATGAGGATGATGAGGCAATAGAGAAATCTTGTCAGTTACTTGGTTATGTCTTGGATTGCTTGTATAAGTGCTTCCTCTATGACAATCAACGATTTGTGAACAAAGAACGCTTTGATCAATTGCTTCAGCCCTTAGTTGATCAGGTACATGTATATCTCGTCAGATCATGGGATTAATTCCGTTAGTTTAAGTGTATAGACAGGTAGAGCACTTTATTTAAAGACGTTATCACTATAAAGCAAATTTTCTGACCTTCAATACATGCATGTATGATGATACAGTAATTGGTGGCGGATATATTCCGAGAATTATGAGTTCATTGAATTTCACGTTCCAGTAATAGGTAGGAGTGACGACTTATTCTTATGAAAATTTTTCGGTTCTCTAAAGCTTTCGAATGAAAACAAGGGCACTGCTAACCATTCATTGCTTAGGAAAATTAACATTTAACACCACTCTCGGCAAGGAATTTTGATAGACAGAAAATATCTAATGGGCGAGAAGAATTGTGATTATATGTTAAAGAACGATTTGTTTTGGCTCCATGAATTGGTTACATCCTTGAGGTCAAGTTCAAAGACTATTATATTTCCCATGAATGCACCTTCTAAGCTTTCAAATTTTGTATACACTTTTGAGAGATGGTTTCTTTTCAATTTAATGATATTCAGGTACGAAACAATGCATTTCATTAGAATGACAATGAAACCAAAATATTACATCTGTCAAAGTGTAAATAAACACTGAAATGGCCAATTTGCATACCAAGCTGAGCAGGTCTATTGAGCGAATACCCTGCATGGATGGTATACCGCTTGTACTAGCAAAACAAGATCCATTTGTTAATAACTTACATTTTTCTTGCAATTAGATTGAGAATCAGATTGGAGATACCGAAGTATTTGATAAGAGAGTATCTGATCATTTGGCTCCATGTATTGCACAGTTTGCAGTTGCCGCGGGTGACGAGACGTACTGGAAAACAATGAACCATCAGATTTGTCTCAAAACAAGACATTCTTCATCTCAGGTACTGACGATATTTACCATCATAACCTATTAATGTCTTTTCATATAGACTGGAGAAATGTTATTTAATATTTTTAAACTTTCGTTTCGCCATTTACATGTACTTGTTTCTTGGAGGGATACATTGCATTTATCTATAAAGCTAATTGACCACAAACTAGCCAATAATATTTAGCGTTAAGCACTAGCAATATATTATAACAAAGAAGTATTATTTGCCTCTTTGGAGAGAAGAATTCCCTTAGAAAACAGATGAACAGATTTTGATTAAAATATTGAGCTGTTGCAAGTTCTCGTAAGGCAGTAAGGACAATATTTGGTTTTAGGTGTGTCAACATTTCACAGTCCCCTATCCACATTACAACCTGGGGTGGTGATGAGATTGAGTATTTCATATTTGAATGTTTTGATAACAAAGAATTCGTTAAAAAGAATCACTGTTTATAAACTTGAAATTAAAATCGCAAAGGATTGCGGAAAATCAACATTTACAATTTGACGTACATGCATGCAGGATGCGATAATTACCATACAGTATGAGAACTTTCCAAGGTATTCAAAACTGTAATTAAGTATAGCTATATTTGTATGACATGTTTAATTGGCATTATTGAACTGATGGGATTAAGGAATGTTGGAGTGAACCGTGTGTGTTTTTCTATGCATTCTGTTCTTGTTTCAACTCATAGTTTCAGATTACTGAATGAATACAGTAAAACCCCACATATAAGAACCTAGAATTTAAGAACTTGTTAGGCTAAAATATTTTATTTAGACCCCGCCCTTTAAATAAGAACCTGTTCAGGCTAGAATTTCAAAACAGATTCTTATATTATCAAATAGAGTCAAAATTAAGTCATAAGTCACAATCAGTGTAGCTTTAAAGTGCATATAGAGTTGGTATACTGCATATACTGTCATTTTTTAGATCATTTCTGCATAATTTATATAAACCATATACCATACCTCCCTAAAATGAGTCGCTTTTCTCTTACGAAAATAAGAACCTATTTAAGAACCTTTTTAGCCTAATTTCCTGGTAAGCACCATTTACATAAGAACCTGTTTCAGACTAACTCTAGGTTCTTATATGCGGGGTTTTACTGTACCTTTAAGAAACTGACTGTGTTTGTTTTTAATCTTACAAACTAAGCCTTGAGTCCAGGGTTTGCAGCACCTCAAATACGTGGAAATAATCATTGGAGTACCAGTGAAGTACAACTATAAGAATCTGGATTTTTCGCACCCTGAATTTGATGAACACAAAATCGATTCTATTTGTTTTCACTCGACTTATCAAATAGGCGTGTAGAGAATACAATATTATCTCTTTCTATTTTTCAGGTCCGTTTAGCTGCGTTGAAAGTGGTGCAAGAATTAAATCATAAACTTGGAGAGGAATACCTCGCTTTGTTGCCAGAAATTGTTCCTTTTCTTGCAGAACTCATGGAAGGTACATATTTTATTGCATTTAAGGTGGCTCCGTATAGTTATTTTATAAGAAGCCTGGTAACGAAGTCTTGACGTTAGCAGAAAAAAAAACAATGCACTCGTCCGATTCTAATACCAATCATATACATGAAAAAATTTCTCAATTCTTGTTGGCTAAGAGCAGTGCAATTTTTTCGAAATACAGTACCAAAAAATGAAATACAGTGCAAAAAATGAAATACAGTGCAAATTTTTAGGCTTTCTGATTGACTTAAAGAATGAAACAATAACAAAGATAGCCAATAAGATACAGCAATTTCCAGCAGAAATAATACAAAAAAAAACATTAGGAATGACTGCATAATTTTTTCATGTATACTTTGTTATTAATAAGTAATGGTATGGTTTCTCGTGCAATTTGAAAAAACATACACTCGTGAGTTTTTCAAAGATTTCAATTTTGATAGTCTTTGAAAAACTCACTCGTGCACGCATGTTTTTTTCCAAATTGCACTCGAAACATGCGTACTATTACCTATACAAATAAACACGCGCGCGTTTCGCGTGATAAACTTCACGCATTCGTAAATATTGATCATATCGAATCGATATTTTGTCACGGCAATAGCGACTGCGCGAGAATTTCTTGAAAATTTGTAAATTGAACGAATACAACAAGCTTGCCAACAGATCAAACGTTTTGAAAACAGTGAATTATGTAGTGAATAATCTGCCTTGATAGCCTTATTCCAGGGCCGTCCACTGCTTGCGTCGGAACCCGCGCGTCTGCGTTGAAGCCTGGGGACGCGGCTGGCCTTATTCGATATTCACATATGTTTAGAATATCAAAAATTTACTCGCTGAGAAATTTTGGGAAATGCCTTGATAGCCTTATTCCATATTCACATATGTTTAGAATATCAAAAATTTACTTGCTTAGAAATTTTGGGAAAACCCGTATCACGTATGCTCAAATAGAAGCTAAAGTATGAATGTCATTGTTACCATGACAACGCAATATGTGTATAATCGTTTATCCTTTTTTATCCATGCCTCCAAGATTCGGTTTATAGAGTAATACATCCCACTTAGTCATGACCACATAAAATTACTTGCGGATATTAGAACAATAGGGAGCCACCTTAAAGCGAATGGCAGTAAGATGTATATGCGAATTTTTGTCACAGTGATATGTTTTGTTGGAACAGATATCTTGAATAAGGTTAGGGTTCCAATTTCACTCAAGTTAAGTAGGTTTCAGTTTAAAAATGAATAAAAGAGCCCAGCAAACCACGCATACTTGGTAAAAATGAAATTTAACTATAATTAATAGCTAACTTTATTAGCTAACTTTATTAGCTAACTAGTTTCGTTGTTTACTGTACAACATGTACTGAATGAACTGGATTTTACATGGAATGCTATCTATATAATTATATATTTACATTTATTTCAAGTGTTGAACGTGACCTAAATCCGACACCTACACATCTCCATATCGCACACGACGAATACGTGCATGGCAACATTTCAGAGTTCAGTAACGACTAGAATAAATATAGACGTAACGTTTTGCAATACGTTGCGAATGCAGTCAACAATAAAATAATATGGAAACATCCGATTTTCGTGAATTGGTATTTTGCTAGATCAAAGTCCGATAGATAAAAATGCTTTTATATACTTCGATTCGTAAACTATAACCAGACTCATTTCAGTTGGAACTGGTTGGGAATAAACTAAGTTACCCATGTTATTTCATTAAAGCCTGGTTCACAGTCTTCACACAATGAATTGGCTCGGCGGTTTTCTCTTTCTGACCGGACAGTCACATGGACGTACGACTCAAGTATATATAAGAACTATATATATACTTTTAATACAAATGCAAGAGATTGCTTGACTTTACAGTGATAATAATTATTTTAGACGAATCGTTCGAGGTGGAACAAAAATGTCAGCAAGTGATCAGTGAAATGGAGGAAGTCCTTGGGGAATCACTTCAAAAATATTTCTAACAATGTGTGATCATGGTTCTGTATTTCTCATCAACACACCATGACGGTAAGATATCGTTATACTTAGTTGACCTGGTGTGTGGAGTTAAATCACTATTTAAAATGCTATCAAGCCAAAGACCATCCGTTGAGTAATGTTGAGCATTTCAGAGAACAACTGGATTATATGTACCACATAATTGTACATGGATGGTGCACACTATACCGTATAGTTTGTATTTCTGTTTTATCGATTAACAAACAGCTGGATAATCTAAACTCTTTCGCTTGTTAATGAAATGTGACATTAAGTATGGCAGTTTAAATACCATCAAATTAATTGAAGTAATCTAAATGAACATTTGAAACAGAACCTATATTTGGGATGACAATACATACAACGTAAACACTTGGAAATTGAGGCGGATAATCCTCTTACAACATAATATCTTATAATCTGCCATAATCTGCCTTGTTTATAGCCAAATAAGCATGTTACAAATATGTTCTGGACTTATGAAACTGCGTGATATTTTGAGGACCGCGTGGATGCTTCCTTTCGCCCGAGAAATCATGTCATGTTTTCGTGTCAAAATATACAAGAATGCCACTACATTTCTATGCCTATTCTCCATTCCGAGTTCACGTCATCAATTTTTCATCTCACTATCTACAGATCTTTGCCAAAAATGGACCTTATAGTGAAATCTTCATTTTGTTTTTACCATGAAAAAATTTTACCGCAGCGGGAATTCCATACAAATGAAATGTATAATACAAAAAACAACATTTTCAAAACGCCGTAAACTGTCGGAGAATTATTGTTAAGATGTGAAACTGTTGTTAGTTATGATGTTTGTGTGCGTCCACACCGGACAAGCTGAAAAAAATTTTCCTGACAACGGTGGGAATCGAACCCGCGACCTTTGGGATAGTAGTCCAATGCTCTACCAACTGAGCTACGAGGTCAAGTCGGTTCGAGTTGGTGATATTTCGAACCGACTTCACCTCGTAGCTTAATTGGTAGAGCATTGGACTAATATCCCAAAGGTCGCGGGTTCGATTCCCACCGTGGTCAGGCAAACTTTTCAGCTTGCCTGGTGTGGATGCACAGTCAAAGTAACACCACAAACATCTTATTCACCTGAGTACATAACACCAACACACACAAAATGTTTTTAGTTATGTCAATATCATTTCTCGCGTACCAATCAGACGTCGCCATTCGCACGATCAGATCATAGATATCTTATAAGTTATATACACTAGATAGTGCATCTAATTATTCTGTAATTCAACAATTGAAGCCGTGATTGCAGACTCAGGATATTCCCATGAAATGAGAAGACTCGTATGTTTTCTACCTATTCCAAATACATTTTCAAACTATTCAAATGATGAAAGTTATTGTTGTTTTTTAAGCGTTTATTAGCGAGTGGGAAACTTCAACATGGCCGCCATCTATTCAAATGGGGGTAACCGCTGGAATATTCTTGGCTTCAATTTACTAAAAGAGATGCGCTATCTAGTGTATATAAGATATCTATGGATCAGACCTGGAGAAAAATGGGATCTCGGGATCCTGGATCCTGAGGAACATTTGCCTTAGCAACAAGATTGAGGAACATTTTGAATTTTTCACGCGTACTTTAAGGGAGAATTTTAAGGAATCATATTTAGATATCTGCCATTTGAGTCTGTTTTGAGATTGCGAAGTGTTCTTTATATCCTGTTGATAGAATTTCAAGATTGTTTTGTGTCCTCAGCAATTTTACAACCAATATAATTGAGGAACATTTGAAAAAGGCAAATTCAGGATCCGAGGAACATTGAACACTTTTTCCAAGTCTGCCCACGATGTCATTTCACGACGTTAGGAATGTGGTCGCATTCCTAAATGTTTTGACGCGAAAAGATCGCACGTTTTTTCAGCGAGACGAAGGATCCACGGGGTGTTGGGTAATACCATGCACAATATGTCTTTTCAACCGAGAAAGGTTCTTAGGTTCTTATAGTAGCAATCATAGGAAACACCTTGTCGTGCTGTTGAGTGGAAGGTACTGTTATTCTCTTAATAAACGATTTTGGATAACATCCAACGAACAATCAAACATTTGTACAATGTGCACCTGTTAAAAATAAAACCTCCAAATTTTTCTTGCATTGAAAGATTACATGCCTTCGTCGCATCTTTGACACATTCCGAAGTAGTAATGGAAAAAAATAGAACATTCTGAAGTATAGTAATGAGATAAAAAATTAAGTGGTTTCCGAAGTTCGTTAAACATGATATCTAAAGCAAATCAAAATAATACAACAATACCATAAAAAATTAAAGTTTTTTTTTAAATTGACATGTTAAATTCGTCAATTACCAAGCATGTGGGAATGTAATTATCCAATTGTATGTTGCCTGGAGACGATATAAACACATCTATAGTGATTTCATTGTGGATTATAATACATACGTGCCAATTCATACGTGGCAATCCATACTTCTATTCATGCTAAAGGTCATGGTGAATGTACTGAAGTCTTGTTTGGCATTTTGATCAGAATGTTTCTGCCGAAAGTTCACTGGCGAGTCTGAGTCGCAGCAGTCGCTTCCCGAAGCTCTTTAGCGTTCTACCAATTTGTGAGTCCACTGAACCATGCCATGAGTCCAGTATATACTTTGAACCTCATTCGTTTATTTATAGCTCACTAATGTATTTTCGCACCGTGTATGTGTGCACTTCCTTTTTAATTTACAATATTAACGATCTTCTGTCGCGTGATACAAATAGTACTAAGGATGTACTGCGAGGCAGCAATACAGATAATTTGGCTTAATGTGCAAGAATAGTTCCCAGGTGGATGATTATTAAGTGTGAAGGACTTTTTTCTATTCATCACTTGACTATTGAATGCATTGGGGGAGGAAATGTTTTTGTGTCGTCT